AACATTAGCTTTTCTTTTTTTCCCAGTAAGAGGTTTTTATTTAATAGAATTTTTGGACAAAAAAAAATCGCAATATATCACCTTGCTTACAGTATCGCAATATATCGGGATATATCGTATCGTGACCCCTCTGTTATATGTATCGTATCACCAAATTCTTGCCAATACACAGCCCTAAAATTTTATATGTATTGATTTATTTTACTTTACAATCGGAGCTCCTTTTTAAAAAAATTTTAAAAAAATAAAGTTTAAAAGCTGGAGCTCTAAAGCAATCGGCCAGCAGTGTTAGAGACTCAGAAATGACTTAAAGATGTTATGATGATGAAGACTGACATCTAGTGGTCAACTGGAGCAACTACATGGAAAACGTCCTGATCCAGGTGGGAAAAAAATCAGTAGGTCCTCTGGAGGGTTCTTCTTTAGTGAAACGTTTCATCTCTCCTCCAAGAGACTTCTTCAGTCTTATGAGTTTCAGGTGAACTGGAAAACTTTAAAATCCAAGCTCTTATTTTGAAGAGAAGATACTAGTTTCCTGTTCCTCGTGCTTTCTTTTCTTGTCAGTCTGTCATGTGCATCACTTCAGTTTTCTAATAAACAGTTTTAAAATTACTTTATTGAATTTAATGAAAAATCTGCAACAAACGAAAAAGAATCAGCCGAACTAGCAATCCTCAACAACTTTTTAATTTTTACACCAGGAGCTAAAGGCCTGTTTCATGAAATCAGATCCCCAACAATCAGCGGTTGTAAGATTAAGTTGTAAAAGAGTTCAAACACCGCTAGTTGGCAGTGCTGTACATATGTTGTACATGAATTTCCAGCAACGAAGTGTCAAATTGAACTTACACTTTAAAATTAGCTTCTGCCAGTTTTTTCTATGACATAAGTGTTTTTGAAGTTGTGGACCTAAATATTTTCATAAGCGCTTTAGAAATTGTGGAGCTAATTTTTGGATTAGTGCTGCCCACCACTGCCTAAAGTAATGCACATCACCTGCCACCTTCCCACCAGACTCTTTGACTAAAATCATCTTATTGAACTGATGATGTGTTTTTGGTCAAACCTTATAAATCATGGTAATGTCAGGGGGAGTCGAGGAAGTTCATCAACAGAGTAATGATGCAGTAAACCTCCAGTCCATAAAGCTGAGTAATATACTGTATTTGTGCAGGGTCAGGTGAGGAACAGAGGGTTTCATGCACTTCTATAAAATGACCACAGGATGGCAGTACTGAAACATCCTACAGACCTTACTGATGTTTAGTGTCAGGCAGAGAGGGGTCCACATGGAAAATGGACCCTGTGGGTAAAACAAGACTCCACAACTTTGACCCAAACAGGATTAAAAGGAAAACATCAAACTAACATAACAGGTGTCCTGTGAGAACTGCCTGGAAGCTCTGTGTTGTATTCAACACAAGTATGACAACACTGTGTGTATTGGCAGTTCTATCACACTATATATTGTTCTTCATCACATAAAGAAGACAATATTTCTGACCCATCATATCCAAATGAGGATCAAGTCAAATTAGGTCAAAATGACCTCATTACATTTTCAGATTCCTGCTTTAAAATCTACATTTTGATACCTGGATCATCCTGATGTCATCAGCTTATCCAGAGATATGACTTCATTTGTCTTGTTGGTTAGTTTGGTCTGAATCCTAATTTTATGTACAGTGTTCCTACAGTTTAAGGCAAGTTAAATTTAAGACTTGTTAAGACTTTTTAATGCCAAGTGAAATCGAATTTAAGACCAATTTTACAATAAAACACAAAAGGACAAAAAAATAAAAACCGGTAAAAACTCACGAATCAAAGTATTTTTGGTTGAAGTATTCAAATATTCCTAATAAACCAATAGTTTTTAAC